TCAAATTGGTTATTCCTGAGCTGCGGTTCAGAAGCTGGCTGCGGTCAGAATTACACTCTTGGGCTGCGGTCCACCATTTGGTTGCGATCAAACGTTTTACATGAGCTGCGGTTCATATTCTTGGTTGCGGTCAGATGATCACTCTTGGGCTGCGGTCCACTGTTTGGTTGAGATCAAACATTATGATGAGCTGCGGTTCATCGGTCGGTTGCGATCGACCCCTTCGTATTGCGATACGAGGCAGGGTGCTGCGGGGTCGTGTTAGAGCTATATGCGCTGACCCTCATGTATGGGCATGCGATTGGTCATGTGGCGCCACTAAAGTATGCTTGTGTGATGAGATACGAATTGAATGATGACGTGAATAAGATGAAGTGAATTTGTGACCATAGGATATATGCTTGTATCTTTATATGCTTGGTTATAACTGTTGAATGTGCTTATCCCTATCTGTCGAGTCTATTCCTGGTTTAAAACTAGTGTCTCTTAAGTATATATCTTCCTACTTCAAAATGATTTTCGTATATCTATATATATCTATCTATAATGTATTTCAACGCGTTAGAGTGGGTTACCAGCATCTCTCGCTGAACAGATATATTTGGCTTTCAGACACAGATGAGTAGACACTGGAGCGCGCTAGAGATTTGGAGCGTAGAGTAGATAGTTTCCCTTTCGGCCTGCGCGCCATGCTTATGTATTGACATTATTGAAGATATTAGTTAGTTAGCCTGTGCACCTGAGTTCTCTTGCTCAGGTGTGGCATAGCACCCCGCACTCTTATGTTATGTTTTGGGATTTAATAAGAATTTACATTTATTATATATGTCTCAAAAGTTTTAAAATTTCGGGGTGTTACACCGGGATCCCTTGTGGAACCCGAAACCATGCTTAGACACTTTTAAACGTAAATAACAACACCACGTAGGCAATTAATAGATCAAAAGCAAGAATCATATTGAACACATCCTAACATGACTTCTAAACATAAATAACACCCGAACATGGGAATTCCCACCCAAATATAAATCAAGAACATCACAATACAAATTCCCAATCCAACCTAGGGCTCTAATTCCATTCAAATCATCAAAATCATATTTTATTTCTGTCATCAAGAAACATCAAGACTTATCAAGAATCATCACATAAACATCAATAACCTCTTTCTAACATCAAGATCATCAAGATCACACATACAATCATCGCATCAATCAATAGGATTATATCACGAATATCATAAAGGAATTTATCAAGACATAAGCATATTGAGGGAGCCAAAGAAGGATATTATAGCAAGGAAAATAGGTTTTGTTGAGACATGGGTTACCTCTTAGCCTTAATTAATTTCCTTGGCTATGAAGGGTCTTTCTTTAAGATTTCTTCTTTCTTGATTTCTCCTATGGGAATTCTTGGGAATTCTTGTGTGGTGAAAGTTATTGTGGTGTGAGTTCTATGTGCCTCCTATGTCCCTATTTATATATCTAAGAGTCCCAATTTCTAAGTGGTATGGATTAGCTAATTCTATTTCCTATAGGACTAAGGGATTGGCTTTTGGGATAAGGGCCCTTGGACTATGGTGGACCCCCTTTTAGCTAATTAATGGGTTTTAATTCCCTTTTTAGGGTGAGTAACCAAATTAATTAATTTGGTTTAGGGGTCGTAACACGGGGTGTTACAGTTTCGAGGCGGCCTGACACAGGCCTTGGGGCCGGAGCACGTGAGGGGCCGCTGCCAAGTCCCACCCCTTAAACCCTTCTGTTTCTTTTCCAAAGCCGAGAGAGCAAGTCACACCATCATCTTCTTCTTCTCTTCTTCGATACACACTGCCTCAACCTCAACCAAAAGCTTATCTTCTCCAAAACAACATCTTTCAACAAGGAAACTGCAAGAGAGTCTTCCCCAAGTCACATCAAGTACTAGAAAAATACAAGTTGGAGTATTCGTAGCAATTTCAACGAGATCAAGACCACAAAGCTTGGATCAAAATGGTGAAAGGGAAGCAACAAGTTGAGGGAACTAGTCAGGAAGCACCTACCTACTCAGTAATAGGAGGTAAAACCTATTTCCCCGAGTTCTTTTCTGAAGATTTGAGAATCCAAGAGGAAATTTACCCTTATTTAGTGATTGAATTCTACGAGAATTTGTCTACAAAACATAAGAAGGGAGTGACTTCGGTTGTTTCTAATGTGAGAGTCACGAAAGTAGAATTGACACAGCAGAAATTGTCAAATTGGTTTGACTTGCCGTTGGATGGGTATGATATGTATGACAGGGATGATTGGGTTGCCCACGCAGGGTTGACACATCAAGAGTATTTGAGATACATGACCGGGAGTAGGGAAGAATTCCCTAAGGAATATCGTTCCGAGAAACCGACTTTGTGTGTAGAAAAGAAATTGCTAGGTTTGTTCATAGAAGAGTGCTTGTTTCCGTGTAGGAACAACTCTACAGAGATTGGTAGTTGGAAATGTACCATTGCATTTATGTTGAGATTTGGACGTGCTATAAACTTTCCAGTTTTAATTCTTAAGCATATGGCTTACTTTAAGGCAAAGAACAGGAAGAATCTGCCCTATGGCGTGATGTTGAGTTGGGTATTCAAAAAGATGAATTTACCTGAGATGGGAGAAAGAATCCAAAGGACTACCAGGTCGGCCCTGAATGCCGTCAATCTGAGATATTACGAGTTGTACCAAGTTGAGGAGAACAAGTACTTGACCCTAGTTGATATTGCTAAGAAGCCTTTGGACGAGAAGATGGCACTTGTGGTTAGATTGAATGTACCACAAAGAAAGTGGCCAAGTGTTGGGATTGAATCAGGACACATAGCTGAGGCTAGTGGAGAAGGGGTTGCAATGGAAACCGATACGGGAATTGGCATGAGCCATGAATGAGCACCATATACAGCCACCCAACAGGGAGCACCACAGGAGTACATGAGTAGGCCACAAGGACCTACTTATGAGGACCTTTAAGCTATGATCAACAACCGTTTCGACAATCTGAGAGCTCAAGTGAGCTATGGTTTTGCCAACTTTGATCAAAGGGCTGCAGTCATGGAGCAAAGGATGGGGATTGAGAACGTGCAGAGATAGACTCCGTATGGTTGGGAGCCGAGTTACATGCCACCAGGCGACTCCTCGGGAGGCTTTAATCAAGGTAACTAGTTATGCTTTTAAGTTTAGTTGTAAATAAGTTGGGGCAGTTGTTAGATTTTAGATAAGATAGATAAGAACTCAAAGATTACTAAAATCTTTCCCAAGTCTTCCAGCAGAAAATTCTAACCTTTTGGTTATATCACCTTTTCCCTTCGAGAACTTGATCCACACGCTTCTTCTAAGTTTCAGGACGAAACTTCCTTTAAGGGGGATAGAGTGTAACAACCCAAAATTTCATTTTTATAAATCCAGTATTAAGAAATCCCAATGTAGCTTTTTCACTCCATTAAAAACTTTTGCGAGCAATCGGTGTTTGAATAAAATCATTTTGTTCCATTTTAAAGTTAATTCAACACCGAAGAAATAAATTTAATTCAAAAATTCCAAAGTTTTCGGTTACTTTGCGTACCAAGATTTAAGTTGAGAATTTTATCCGAGTGAGACCGAGAGAATTCAAAAGGGAATTTTGAACAAGTGTTCATCCATATAACCTTTGGGAAAATTCACTTTCCACCTCAAAGTAATAAAGAAATATCATTTCAAGCCTATGGTTCATGATACATGGTGGACCACAAGACATCCAAAAATCCCTTATAAAGTCATCTTTTAGCTTGGGGAAATTACCCCTTTGCCCTCAACCAATCATTGTGTATCATCCTAGGGTTTTGAACCCTATATAAACCCTTCATTCCATCACATTTTCCTGATCTCATTTCTTTGCCTCTTCCCCAGATTTTGTCTACAAACATCAAAGGAGAGAAACATCAACCTAGAAAGCTTGTTCATCCTTCATCCGAACATCTTTTCTCTTCTAGTTTTCTTTAGTCTTTGAGGTTATAGGCTAAGGATAGAAGGTGTGTTGGGAAGTGTAGGTGGTGAAGGAGGCTCAAGCTACGCCAAGAGTAAGAAGAGATCCAAGCAAGAAGACTAGACTACAAGAGGTATAACCCCAAGGATTCCTCTTTAGATTTGGCTCTATGAAGCCTAGTTTTGAGTAGAAATGAGTAGAAACTATGAGTTTTTGATGTGTTTATGATTATAAATGCTTTGGTGTGCGTTTATGAGTTGTTGAGATTGTTTTGGACATGTTTGGATAAGTTTTTGCAGGAGAAATGCTATCTGGGGCACAACATAGTGTGCACAAGACCAGAGTAGCGGCCCTAGCCGAGGCCAATCAGAAGGGCCGCCGGGCGGGCTATTGCCGTGCCACCACGGGACTAGGGCAAGGACCTTGAAGAGGGCCGTCGCCTAGTCCCGGCTTCTTAACAGGACTCCAGGGGCGGACCATGAAGAGTCCCGCCCCAGGTCCCTGAGTATTGTTCTGATGAGATTTTTTTGCAGTGGCCGGACCCTTGTGGCTCAGTTACGTGTCGTTTCAGACCGAGTGTTACGGGCCCTTGTGGCTCGGCTCTCCGGGCTCATCTCAACGCACGTTTTGGTTTTGATTTCGTGGAATTTGAATTAAAAACAAGTATGTTAAGATGGATTTTGTGAAGAAATGTTACACAGTGCATATTTTGCTAAATTCTCGGTGTTTGAGAAATTGTTGATTATGCGATCAAACAATGTTTTTATTGAGTAAAGAAACATGATCCTTTGAGAGTAGGATTTATTATGAAAGCATGATTAAATTGTATTATTTGATCAATGAGAATAGAAGCATACTTGTCGAGTGAAATGTATAGAAATTGCTATTTTGCAAACCGAGAATGTTCATACATTTTTGAATACTTCATGTTAGTGTACACATGATTTAGAAGCATGTTATAGAGCATTTTGACATTTCACATGAATTATATTTCGAAAATGCATAAGGGACCAATGTGAGTCCAAGAATACTTTGAAAAACAATAAGCATGTGGTATATCATTCTTTGATGCATTCAGAAGTAATAGAATTGTTGCATACATGAGAGATATATTTATGTATTATCTATATTGGTGAGGTTATTGAGGATACCGTTTGGACTATTTTCCTCTCGGGAGATTATTATTGACATTGCGGTCCCAGTATATGTAACGCGATGTATTCCCACGTTACGAGGTTGGAAACTTCCCGCCAGGCTTGGAATCCTGGTTAGGGGGTTTGCATACGAATAGTTTGATACCTGATTCCACAGAGTTTGAACTACGAGATTGGTTCAGTACCCGGTAGGAGATATTGGGTCAGAATTATGCCGTTCCCGATGGGGTAAGTCACACTTCTGTGAAACCCTCTACGAGTATAAGAGAAAGAAAGACAGTCAACAGAGACTCGAGAAATAGAGTCAACTGAGACTCAAGAAAGAGAGTCAATATAGACTCGATAGAAAGAAAGAGAGTCATGAGAGACTCGAGAAAGTAACAAAGGAACCTCCACAGAAAGTACCATATTTTATATATGAGTGTATGATTATATTATTGCACTAGATTGCATATGAAAAATAGTATATTGTTTCACTAGATTGCATATGAGTATGAGTATATTGTTGCATGAGATGGCATAAGAATATGAGTATATTGTTGCACTAGATTGCAAAAGAGTATGAGTATATTATTGCACTAGATTGCATATGAAAAAGAGTATATTGTTGCACTAGATTGCATATGAGTATGAGTATATTGTTGAATGAGATGACATAAGAATATGAGTATATTGTTGCACTAGATTGCAAAAGAGTATGCGTATATTGTTGCACTAGATTGCATATGAGTATGAGTATATTGATGCATGAGATTGCATAAGAATATGAGTATATTGTTGCACTAGATTACATAAGAGTATGATTATATTATTGCACTAGATTGCATAAGAGTATGATTGTGTTATTACACGAGATTGCATAAGAGCATGAGTATATTGTTGCACGAGATTGCATAAGAGCATGAGTATATTGCTGCACAAGATTGCATAAGAGCATGAGTATATTGTGGCACTAGATTGATTAAGAGTATGACTATATTGTCGCACTAGATTGCGTAAGAAGCATGATCATAATTTTATACATGATTGTATGCGAATAGAGTATCGTAAAAGATTGTTTAGTGAGAAGACTAACTGGAGATATTCTCTTGAGCATGGTTGTTGTGATGTAGTAGAAGTTCTACTTAATAAGTTAAGTGATAAGAGTGTGATCGCATGTGAACACCTGATATAAGATCTTTAAACATGATCCTATCTGTGAGCATGAATTGCTTGATAAGCTATTTGAGAAGTCTACATGTTGATGAATATACGTGATCAGTCTTATACATATATAAGCAAGTCATCTGTTATTATAGGGTGCAAGCATCTAGAAAGAATACGATAATCTAAAGATGATTTGAGATTAGTTTGTTGATATAATGATATTAAATGTTTTCCAATTACATGCTAGAATACTTTACAGGGTGGAGTGTGGTTATACTTAGCTTCGTGCTAACGGGTGCTTTTCCTGTTTGTCTATGTGTTGCTTGCAAAACCCCTTTCAGGTGGGCCCAATAGTGAGAAGAGATCGAGTTAGATTAGTATCTTAGTTTGAGTTGTCTAAACTCTAGTTTATTTGATGATGTTATGGATTTAGAATTTCTGACTTCATGATGATGGATTGTTGTAGACTGTTTTGGGGTGACGTATTTCCCTTTTACTTTTACAGTTATTACTTTTAGTTCCCAAACTTAATGGTATTTGTAGTTTTACCCCTTTTGCCTGTGCAATCACCCAAGAGTGGTGGTTGTGGCGATGACACTCCCACTACTTATCATCTAGATTTCCGCTGCTTAGTTTATGTTAATGAATGTTTAGAGATGTAATTAAGAGTTAGAAAAGTGGGGTGTTACAGTTACATGGCTTGTTTCTCTACTACACGAGATCGGCATCCCACATGCGTCTCCTCCTCGACTATGGTGTGATAATTTGGGAGCTACTAACTTATGTGTCAATCCAGTGTTTCATGCCCGCACGAAGCACATTGTGATTGATTATCATTTTGTTCCCAATAAAGTAGCCAAAAAAAGGAGTTGGAGGTGCACTTTATTTCAACAACAGATCAACTAGCAATTATCTTCACCAAGTCTCTTTCGTCAATCTATTTTAATTCTCTCCGTGACAAACTCAATGTTTTGGCTAGCCAACCTTGTGCTTGAGGGGGAGTATTAGGACTATGTTATCCATATTAGACTACGACCATATTATTCGTGTTAGACTAGGATTCTATCTAGTACCTATATATTCGCTCTCTGTACTCTCAGACATTACGATTAAATACAAGACAATTATATTCTCATCCAACTTCCTTAAAATATATCGTAAATGATATATTTATCATGAGAGAAAATTAATTATGTAAATCATGTTCAACACTAACATATATGTAATTATGAACCTTTGAAAGGTTATGAACCGCATGCAAATAACTGTGCAAGAATAATATATTTATATATACTATAATTGCTAGCACAATTTTGCATGGAAGTTTAGGAAGTTTGGAAGTTCACGACTTGTATATTCATTTTCCAACTAAAACAATTTCCAATATTGGTGAATGGACAAAGCTCCAACTGACACATTTTCCAATATTGAAAAATGTACAAAGTTCCAACTAAAACATTTTCCAATATTGGAAAATCGACAAAGCCTTCCGTCAAAGCCCTCCCGGCAAACTCATTCTCCACCTACTGTATTTCAATTAACTCTCTACCAAACCAAAATAATATTTATAACACCACAACTCCAAATATTATTTAAGCTTTCATGGTAGTCCATCTGAAATATTAATCTTCATTACTATATAAATTTCCAACATTCCTTAATTTAATAGGTACATGAACATTATCTTGATAGAACTAAAAGCTTTTTTCATACTTTCTATCTACAATTCTATATTTAAATTAGTTTTAATTACTATATTATCATTATTTTAGATATTTGTTGAATCGATGTTAACAAAAGTTTAATTAGGGTTAATATTATTTTAAATTGACTTGTGATGGATAAAAGTTGGATGAATGCTTATCGCATTAGTAAAGAATATGAAGACGGAGTTATAGAATTTTTAGATTGATGGATATATTATAATCGGAGCAAACTGACCCGAGAAAATGGGATGAGAAGGTATGGAGCAGACCCGGGGCCCTCGAGGTTGAGCCCCGTGCTCCGCCCAAGGCCTCGGCCCACGAGGCCTCGTCCCATTAGGCCTTGGCCCATGAGGCCTCGTCCCATTAGTCCTCGGCCTGAATAGGCCTCAGCTCATAAGGGTTCGGGCGGTAAGGGCTCGGCCAGAAAAGGGGTCGGCTAAAAGAGGTCGGCCAGTCAAGCGGAAGACTCGGGGCTCGGGCCCCGGCCGCGGTTAACTCGGATAAAACCGACCTTTCCATTTTAGGGGGTTGTTAGGGGGTATGGCTTGTATAAATACATCTCATTTTGTCCCATTGAGACATCTTCATCACTATTGTCCTAATCGACCGTTGTAATAGCTTATTTATTGTCATTTAATATAATATACGATCCCTGTGACCTTACGACATCGTTTTGCCTATATTCTTATACATTTCCTATTTACCTATCCTACTTACGTTCTTAATCGGGTTTAGTAATTCGAACTACCCCGGGTTAATTATGTGACACCCCAAAAATCCAAACTCTATTTAAGGATTAATTAGATAATTAATCCTATCTTATTTGGTGATTTATTCCTAAAATCCTGAAAATTCAATAGTCGGAGGACTAGATGTTGGACTAGTCAATCCAAGTTAAAGAGTTGTACCCCATGCCTTATGAGTTGTTCCCTTGTCTCCTTATTCTTCCAACTTTAGTAAGGGCAAAGGAGTCTTTCGACCTAAAGTTTGTGCTCCAAGCTAACCTAGCATCATCCTTTCATTTCATCCACCAACACTCCAAACACAAAACCTCTACCTTCTCTCTAGGAAATTGATAGCTTCTTCTCCAAGACAAATTTTGGGCATCCTAAATCCTACAAGTTGGCCTCCAAGATTCATACTTTCCTAACCTTGAGCATAGGGGAGGGTAAGATCCTTGATCTCTTGGTGTTTTTAGTATCTTTTAGATGTCTTTTTCTAAAAATAGAATCTTTGTTGTCTTTTGGGTTGTTTGTGAAGTTGGAGTTGAAGAAGAGGTTTAGGAGAAGCTTTTAAGGGTGAGAAAAGGGAAGTGTTAGGCTACAAAGGTAACCCATGCTTTACAAAACCTATTTTCTTACTTATGATGATTTCTTGGCTTCTACTTGTGATTTTTGTGATGAAATGTGAGATTTGATGCATTGTCTTGTGGTAATGCATGTCCAGAGCTTGTTATTAGGGATCTTGAATGCCATTACTTGGCTATTTCTTGGGTTCAAGTCATATTGTTGTATTGTGTGAGATTTTGGGTGTTTTGGACTTGTTATTGAAAATCCCCGAAGGGATTATTTTGAGGTACAGGGGTGTACCGGCGGGCGGAACGGCGGGCAGGGAACCACCCCCCCTCCACACGCAGGGTATATATTTGATGTTGGTCGGGGATTTGTTCCCCGTGATTCTTTTGACTCAGTATTGATGTTTTGACCCCCCGATGTTGTTTTATTGGGCTTTTCGAGTGTCTTCTTGATGTTTCGTATGTCTAGAACGGTATGTTAGGAATCCATGTAGGACTTGGTGTCTTGAGTCGTGCTAAGTGTCCAACTTTGTGATTCTTTGGACTATGATGAGTCTTGTATGTTCTATGGAACTATGTTTGGTTTACCCGTTTGATAAGCATGCTAGTTTGATGTTGAAATACTAGTGTGTGCAGTTTGTTCTTTCATATTGAGATTGACAACTTGTGTTGACCAATGTTGGTATCGGATTGTAATCCTTCCTTGTTGAGTATGGTTTCATATCTATGTTGTGATCCATTG